TTTTATATTGTAGAATTTTTCAAAATTTCTTTTATAGTCATTTTTTGGACGAACTTGCAAACCATCAAAGGGAACAACCGCTGATGGAAGTAATGAGAGCAAAATTTTAAATACAAAAATGAAATTATTCTGCAAAAATGGTGGAAAATGCAATGTACAGGTGAAAAAGGGCAATTATTTTTTTTACCGTTCATATCTGATAGTTTCATTCAAATTGCTTGCTTTGGAAGAAAATTGATTTATTTAAATAAATAAATAAAGCTAAATATTATAAGTGATATTTCTTTCTTTTCCATATCATATATATATATATATATATGAAGTCTTTATCAATTTTTAAATCATTTCTTACAAAATTTATCTTTTTTTGTTTTTAGGGACGAAATCGAACATCGTGCAAACTTTGTCGTTTCAATAAATGCATTGAAGTTGGAATGGCACCACAAAGTATGCGCTAAATTTAACAATACAATTAGATTAATTGATCAATTGATTAAAACTAATTATTTTTGACAGTTAGAAACTAAATAAATTTCGAATTTTTTTTACCATAAATTGAAAATTTTTCATAGATAAAAATAAGCTTGAAAGCATTCAATTCGACTGAATTGAATGTTTTCAAGTGTCAAAACAATCGTTACATGAGGTGTAATTTTAAAATTTAAAACTTTTTTCTGAAATAATGCAGTTTTTTTTTCAGACTCACGTTATGGTCGTCGTTCAAAATATTTCAAAGTTTCATCGCTTTTAAAAGCCCAAGAACGAGCTCGTTTTTCTGGTAACTATCAATCAGCTGACCTATTAACTTCACCGGCCCAGCTGATCAAACCAACAATACCACCGTCACCAGTTTGGGCCTTGCCTATTTGGCTATCCACTAATATTTTCAACACTCGAGATGTCATAGTGGTCAATAATGCCTGTAATCAAAAAGATCTAAGCCATTTTATTCAATCATATCCTCAAACAGAACCATTAGATTTATCAATTAAAAAATGATAAATTTAACAAATTTGCCAATTCAATTTCCACTGAACAAAAAAAATTTTCGAACATAAATTGAAAATAACGAATAAGATTTCAAATAAAAAAGTAAAAACAAAAATACTTGTTTTTTACTCTACGTCCACTAAATTATTAATATGAATTGGAAATATGATGATGAGAAAAAATATTTTGTTATTTTAAAAATTGAATTTTAATAATTCGAAAATCTGCGAGTAATAACTGTAAGAAATGATTTTTTTTTCTTTTTTTTTGTAATGCTCAAGCATAAATTTCATTGTTGCAACTTTTGTGTCGGGTCTTTCTTATTTCACTGTATAAAACTATCACTTGTTTTAGCATTTATCAATTAGATAAATTTATCTTCCATTCGATGAGTTTAAATTTCAATTACATACATTCGGAGAGAATTCATTTTGAAAATTTCAAGAAAAAAAAAGAGAAAAATGAAAAATGATTATTAACAAATTTTGCATTTTGATTATGAATTCTCTCATGTAGTATTATTTGGATATTTCATTTTATTAATAAACTCAGGATTTTTTTTAAAATGCTTGTATTCATTCAAATTCAATTGTAATAATTCACTTTTTTTCCGTTTCACACACATTTTCTGTTATTGCTATTTTTAAATTTAGCTGATAAAATTTAAATTCTCTGTTCAATAATTAATGTCCTCATAATATATTAATTAATTACTATTCTTAAACTCAGGCATTTTATCTCCATCTTTTCTTGCTTCACTTTATTTCTACATTAAGATTTTCAGTTCATTTTTAGAATATCTTACAAGTTTAACTTCTTCAGATATTGTAAAGCAAAAAGAGAAATTTACAGGAGAGAAAAAAAGAAAAAAGAAATTTGAGTAATTTTTCAACTTTGACATTATTGCCTTATATTTGCTGCTAAAAAATGAAATTTAACTCATTTGGAAAGGAATTCAAATTTTTTAATTAATAAAACGGTGGAATGGTTGTCATGTCATCTTTATTTTCAAATTTCGAAATTTTCAAAATGGACTACATAAATTTGAAATAATATACTCAAAAAAATTCAGCAAAAAAAAAAAAATTCAGTGATTGCATTGAAAAATAATTTTTATCTTATCCTATGAATTTTGAGCATTTTAATGTTTCACTGTTTTAGCCAATACATTCGTTCATTTGTTAATTTTACAAAATTTGAATATGTATTTTTTTTCATATCTGTAAGATATCTCAAAGACACCGCAATAATTAATCGTCTTACCTGCAAAGCATATGGGCGGTAAGTATGGGCGGTTCTCACAAAGGATAACATTTTTTAATTGGTTATTCCGAATGGTATCGTTATTATTTTTTAGCAATTAAACCTATATTTTGAATTTGAGATAATTAATTATAATTGGATATGCATATAAGCTGCATTTCTGACCCCTAACATAGCTGAGTAGAAGAGAAAGCAAAATTACTATTTTTAAAATTTAGCTAAATAGTTCAATTAAGTAGCATTATATCAATTGGCAATCATCATATTCAAATTCAATTTCAAATCAGGTTGAAATTTAAATTAACAATAGATGAGTTTTATTGAAAACATCGAAAGATCTTTTGGGAAATTCTGTAGAGTTATGAGTAAAGCCAAAAATTTCTAGTCATCTTGAAATTTTATTATTTGAAAAGCTATGTATTATGGATAGCACTGGGTGTGAAAATTTTTTCCAAATGAAAACTATAATTAACTGATTAAATGTAGAAATTTGGGGCTGTTCAAAATTAATTGCAGACACTAAAAATTCTTTCAGTAGCTAAAAATCCTAATTGAAGAAAAATGCTAACTTTCCACCAGCAGGAGAATTTTAAAAATTGATATCAATTTCGAAAACTTTAAAGAGCTGTTTCCTGTCGGCAATACCTAATAATAAAATAAAACCTTTTTAAAACTGCTGAAAACTTGAAATTACAATCTTAGAAAGGTTAAAATTATTGTATTTTTGTACTTTCACTCAAATTATGGACTTGGAAATTCTTTGCTTTTAATCGAAGAGAAATTTCAAAAAAAGGCTGTGAAATTCACAAAACCATTCAAGCGTTAAGAGGAAAAAGTTGTGATGCATAGGATACTTTTTGCTCTCCTCAAATAACCAATCGTCAAATGCGCTCTTATTAAACGGAGCTTTCAAGCTCGAAGATAAAAAAAGGAAGAAAATTAGTAAAATTTAAAAAAAAAAGACGAAAGCGTTCTTTTACATTACCTTTTATATATATTACACCAACAATAAATATCAATCATTCATTCTTAAACCTTCAAATTTTGGATAACATTTTAATAAATTTAAAACAAAGTTTTTTTCAAAAAGAATTTTCTTTAAAGCAAAACAAAAAAAAAACCAACAAAATGAATTCATTAAAATTTAAGAAAGATGAAATTAAAAAATTGAGTTAATGTAAGCTAATATTGACATCACACTCTTTGATAGCCTGAAATTTGCGGGAGAAAAAAATTTTTTTGCATTCGCCCTAAGCAATTGCAGCAATGCAATAATGATGGCCAAACCAAATGTGCAGCACCATGGCAACAGAACGGATATTGCGAGTCGACGGGATTTCCTCAATCTCGGGTATCCCATCCTACCTCTCCTCCATTTCCATAAATTCCTCAAATGAG